AAAGGAAAAAAAATGTATAAAGAAAAAGTCATTGAAGAAAGCGCGCTCAAAAAAAAATAAGCTTTTGCGCTGAAAACATTGGCAGGAAAAAATATAAGAAATACGGGTATGGCAGCGCGCTGGTTGTCGAAAAAAAAAATAAGGTAAAGCGCACACACGCGCACACTTACAAGAATCGCATAATGTAGAAAAAGTGGCCAAGCGAAATATGTAGCTGCATGTGTGTGTGTGTGTGTGTGTGTTTGTAGTAAAGAAAATCAATCTACTCGCTTGGTGGCGTTCTTCAGCTCGCACTGCCGTTGCCGCTATCATTGTAGCTGGCGGTGTAACGACTTATCCTGGCAGCAATGCGGACAAACAGACAATTGTAGTAGAAACCTGAGCGCACATGCATGCATACATGCTTTCATACGAAAAACAATAAAAAAACCTAGTAGATATATATTTTTTTGCCTCGCTACATATTTTTTCCATTTTATGCTGCATTCCGCCCCACTTCTCATTTTATTTCCCTCCCCCCCCTACTCAACGCTTTGCTCCTTTTTTTGCACCGTTGAAGCGCTGCTGTATTTTTTCGCTGGCGCTACGGCTAGCTGCTGATGCTGATGCTGCCACTCTTCTTTCGCTTTCCTTGCGCTTTCCGGCGCGCTGCCGCGCTGTCGGTCGTTAGCGTTGGCGCTTTTTATCTTAGAAGAAAATGCTGCACTGCAGTGTGGTGCGCTAAGAAAAAACACTACAACAACACAAGCAATTGGACATTGTGAATGAGAAGCAAGCGAAAAAAAGTAAAGAACACATTGAAAACAAGAACAAAAACAAAAAAAAAAACAAAAGCAATGGCAAGTGAAATAAAAACGGGCAGCTTATGAGCGCAAAAAATCAACAACAACAACAAAAAACATAAAATGGAAATATGGAAAAGTGAAAGGGGTTAGAGAAAAGGCAGCGCGCGCCTTGCATGAGGGTGAATTGTGAAAAAGTAGCAAAAAAATAGAATAAAAAAATGTGCGCCAAAAGGGAACACAAAAAAGGCGAAATAAAATAATAATAAGAGCGTAAGAAAAAATAAGCAGCAGCAGTAGCAGTGAAGCAACAGCAATAAAAACAAATACACAACAAGCAAGAGCTTTGGTAATAATGCACCGCTGCTGTCAGCGGCGCTACCTACGCCGCCACCGATTGCTGTTGCTGTCGCTGTCGCTGTCGCGGCCGCTGCCACTGATATCCTTACAGCAGGCAGTCCTCGGCAGCTGGAACTCAACAGCCAAACAGCTCTACGGTTTGGTCACTCATATGGCAGGGAAACGTTGTGGCGGTCGTACGTGTGTGCCACATACGTTGCACGCCACAAAAGCGAACCGCGCACGGTGTGCAGTGCAACGGCGTGCAGGGGGGCAAACAGCAGCCATCAAAAGCTGTCCAAGTGACAATATTTAAAAACATTTATGCATAAGTGAAAAGAAATTAAAAAAAAATTTGAGTGTAAATAATAATTTGTGTAAAAGTGCTGAGCTCACTACGCCGCGTTGGCCAATTCGCCGCACTTCGTTGCAATTTGCCGCGTTCGATTGCCTTGTATTGTTTATTGTTATTAATTAACAGGCGGCTCATCGCGCGCGCTCCAACTCACCCCCCGCCGCAAGCAGCAAGCGCGCCATAGCTGTGCCGTTATACAAATACATAAAAAACGTAACGAGTTGCGTGTGTGCGTGGCGATTGCCATGTGTTTCCTGCACTGCACTGCTATTATTGCAGGCGTGAAAAAGTGAAAGTACGACGCAGACATCAAAGGTTGTGCACAGGACGGCGACGACGACAACGACGAAGAAGAAGAAGAAGAGGGAAGAGTAAAAAAAAAACGTGTGTAAAGTGTGCGTGCGGAGCAGAGGAAGACGTGTGCGTACAAGAGGCGTATGACCGATGGATATATCTATTGATGAAGTGTTGTGTGTGTGTGTGTGTGTGCGAAAACTGAATTTTACGCCACCTGCTGCTGTTGTTAATGAAAAGCTGTACATCCAGCAAACATTGATGGCAGGCAAGCAACAACAAAGTGGCGCTGCGATAAAATTAAAACAATTAATGCCATGATAACGGCATTACGAAGTGATGCAGTTGTGGTTGTTTGGAATGTACCTACATATGAATGTATGAATGTATGTGCGTGCGTGCGCATAAAGCTGCTATATAGTTAATAAAAAGGGAGGCAAATATCAATAAAGCACCTTACATTTAACTGTTTAAACTTACGGAAAGTCGGTTAATTGGTTAATTCATTTGACCGATTGAAATTCCGAATAAAGGTTAAATTGAAGTGGTTGGAGAATATCTTCCCAAAAACATGCGGTGGCGAAAACTAAAATAGGGATGCGATGTTTTTGCAACATTGGGATGTTTTTCTATTATTATTGATTTACAGGGCAATAATGGCAAATGTCTTTCAGCTCAGGACAGTCTTTCGAAAACGAAAGCTTTTCTTGGATGCTCTTTGCTGTTCTTCGCGAGACTATTTGAAAGACCTGCTAACGAGTAGGGCCTAGCGTTATTATGCTTGTCTTTTAGCAATAAGTTTTCTTTAAACTAAATTATTAATTATTATTAAATATTTTTTTTATGTAAAGAAAAAAAACGTAACATTAAGAAGAAGCAAACACCAATTAAAAACCAAGTATTATAAAAAATAAAATCAATTCTAAAAATTAAAAAAAAATAATAATTAAAAATAAGAAAATTATAAACAAATTTCCTTAAAATTAAATAAAACCAAAAAAACTTTAAGTTAAAATTAAACTAAACACGATAAAAGTTAAAAGAGGAAAAAATTGAATTAAAATAAAACAACAATATTTTTTTTAAAACAATAAAACCTTAAAATGAAAAGAAAATTATATCAAATATAATTTAACACAAATAATAAAATGAGTTTCTACATATAAAATGAAATGAGAAAACAAATGTAATTTAAAATAAATAATAAAATAAGTTTCTAAAAATTAAATAAGATTAAAAAGAAATTTTAATCAAAAACGAAAAACATTTAAAAACAGAACAAATTTAATCATTTCCTAAAAATAAAATAAAATTAGGAAATGTATTTTTTCCTTTTTAAAATAATATGTGTAATCTAAAATTTGGAAGAAAATATAAATAAATTTAAAATAAAGAAACAACTAATTTAAATTTTAAAAACTTTTTCTTTTAAAATAAAAAAATCTTAAAATTAGAACAACATGGTTCAATAAAAATAAAATGAGTTTCCAATAATTAAATGAATTTTAGAATAATACTTTTCTTATTGTTTTTTTACCAAATATTTTCCCAAAAGTTAAAAGCCATTAAATTTTTAATTTTTTTTGAACAATAAAATCTAAAAATTCCAATAAAATCTAAAAGAATACTTAACAAAAAAATGAAAAACTCTCCGCTGCTTGAGGACTCGACAACGGATCTCTGGAATCGCGCGCCAGTGCTTTGCGCACCCGGCCATAGCGATTATTAAAATAGCGCAAGGAAAATTATACACACGTGCTTTCTGTCAAATGAATTTTTCACCATGAAAGTTTGAAAGGGCGCTTTTTTTTAAAAGACTTTCATGCCACAATAAACAAAATCTTTCAAAGTATCATGACCACTATCTTTAAATTGTTTTTCAAAAATGGACTTTCAACTACCTTGGCAAGAATTGTCCTGTTAATCTTAATAATATTCTCAGAAGGAAAACGCACTAGCTCATTTATTTATATAACAGAAGGCTCTGTGATCGCAAAAAAATTCGGAGAATTACATATAGAACATCTAATACTGGTTGGCATTGCTCTGAATCAATAACCAGATTAGCTTTTCTTATAAGCCGATCACTCAAAACTTTCAACTATATTTTGCGCTCCGTAAATGAAAAAACGATTCTTTGAGCCGAACGAAACCGTTTGGCGCGGGTCGAAGCTTTCAGATTACTGAAGTTATTTACATTATGTTTGTACAGTTCATATGTACATATGTATGAATATTATAGTTAGGCGATTCACAAGGTGTCGTAAGTGTCGTATGTCGTAAATTTTTTAGCTTCTAAATAAATCTTCAATGGACTTGAAACTACAACCAAATATTTTTTAATGGTGTGAAATTTCATAATACGACTTTTATGGTAGCTTGCGAATCCCGTTTAAAGTTTACGACATACAACAAACAATACCACAGTATACAGCAACTTGTGAACCCCCTAAGTGTTCATATAGTAAACTTTTTTAGAAGAATTTTGAAGCCGAAAGGGAAGCAGTTTTTGTTCCCGAATTTGCTGTTTGATTTTTAAGCTTTGTGGTGCTACTGTAAACAAAAAATCAAAATATATATGTATGTACATATTTAAATAAAAACAAAGTTTTCAGCAAATATTTTGATGTAAAATAAGAAATTAATTTAACCTTTTCAGTGAAGGTAAGTTTAACGCATCTTTCAAGCCGAGTCTATGCAAAAAGCTCCACCTCACCTCGTTCAGTGTGAACTCTTGGAGCTTCGCTTGGCGCCGCTCCACTTCCTGTGTGTACGTTCCCTAAGTATACAACATTAGCCTATTCCTATTTCTGTTCCTTTCGGACAATACAATTTCAAAGTTTTAAACTATAAATTAGTTTAATCAATGAAGCAACCTTCTTCCGATTTAGCTTTTGAAGCATATAAGTAGATATGTAACTATATGGAGAAATAAAATAATAAAGAACATAAAAATCCGCAAATATTTAAGTGCACATCTAAGCTTTATTTTAAATGGCAAACTTGCCTGCCAAATACTTACGTACACATGTATGTATGTACATAGAAGAATAACTTGGTATGAATTAGCATTTGTTCATATGTAAGTACATATGTATGTATGTATGTATGTCTGAACTTTCTTTGCGTCATTTAGTATTTTTTTATTTGCTGTATAATTTATTATTATTTCACATTTTCTGTTTTCTCATCTTCGCGAATATTTTCTTCTGCCTTCTTCTTTGTTAATATGTAAGAAATCTCCATTGGGGCTACAACTCACTAGCCATTGTGTTAGGTCAGTAAGTCAACACGAGCATTTCGTACTTATTCATGATTGTATCTATGTATGTATGTATGCATGAATGTGAGTTTGTACCTATGTACATATGTATGTGTACTTGTTTTTAAAGTAGGTGTTTCGTTTGCTCTCCCACCATGTCGTATGCGTGGTATTAGCAAATGAGTTGCGTATACGCAGTGTAGGCAACTGTGTGTGGGAGAGAGTGAGATTTGTTTGGTTTGTTTGTTGGAGGTGATTGGCTTTCTTATTACATTTATGTGCAGTAATGTGTATATCTACATGTGTTTATAGGCATGTGCGTAAGTGCATAGATTAGTAGTGTTATTCCAATTGGAAGTTTTAGATGTGTACGAAGGGTACAGGTACAAATATTAACTTCTGATACAACAAAATTTTTTTAGTGCATTCCATTAGTTCTAAAATAATTCAAAGGAGTCAAGTTTATCTAGTAAGATTATAAGAAGATTAATCTCGATAGCTCTGATGGGTTTCATCACTACTGCCGAATTACATACTGCAACCTTTGCCCATAGAAACACCTTTTCGAACTTTATATATTTCTCCGACAAAAAACGCAGAGCTTGCATATTTTCGCAGATTTTTAGAATATTGGCGCTTAAGCACAATTTCCCAGTTTTTAGCTATCTTGGCTTGTGACAAAACTTTAGCAGCCAGCAGCTGCCACTTCGCGCTTCTATTGGGCAAAAGAGTGAAGTACATTCCGTTCATTTCTCATTTGGGTCGCAGCCGAGGCTCTGGAAGGGAGGAGCTATCGGGTGGTTTTTATGCGGTTGAATTAGTACATATATAATGTTGGAAGGCTGTTCATAGGCACCCGGTATAAACTTATCCCGGAAGTCACACACGTTGTAAAGGGCATAGAAGGTATCAGGTAGCCTTATACTGGCAAGCGAAAGTGGTTTATTGACTCTATGAAACCGTCACTTAACCGATTTTTATTGTATGGCATTCCCGCTTGTGAAAGATAAGTAGTTGGCGAGAGTATAAAGAGCTGCCATAGTTGGTGTCAATGCGGAATTTCGGACCACAAGCGTAAACATTGCTAAGTTTCCCACAAGTTTACTACTAACAACGAGCACTCCGGATTTTTCAAAAGCTTTAATGCTTTTGCTGCGTTTGTCGGCATCGCACACCAATTTCTTTTCAAATGAAGATATTTAGCATCGAATGAGGTATTTGCAATCAGATGGCGTTGAATTTATTAACAGAAGAAGGGTTAGTATGTGAAAAGCTCTGAATAAAGCTCAAATTTAAGCTACCAAATCACTGCAGTGTAACCTCCATAAAAGCAAAAGCGGATTGGTTGCAAATGTAATATAAGTTAAGCCTTAGGATTTCGAAAATTTCTGGGCGTGCCTCTCGATCGCGGTGGAGTACATCGCTGTCAAACCTATATGCCCTTCAAGCCAATATCGTTATGGAAATTATAGGACTGATAAACTGGTAAGTGGGGACACTCTTGAGCAGTTGTCGACAGGTGAAAAGACTGTGTGAGGGCATACTGCAGGAAAATAGGGCATCTAGCCAGCTCAACGAGCGCTGGGCGAAAACTTTGGTATGCAAGGTGGATTAGTCATTCTGCGCACGGTTAAATGGGTAGCTGAAATGAAAATGTGTTGCTCATTCACGCTAAAATTGCCGAACGGATTCTAACTCGGATTAGCATTTGGAAAATTTTTGTTGAAGAGAGTTGCCACTTTTTCAAAATTTAAATTCAATTAATTAATAACTGAAATAAAGTATTATTACGATGTGGGTGTCAAACGAAAGAGTTTCCAAACGATTTATTTAGAAAAAATTTGGAAAAGGAGCTGCCACCTTTCTCAAATTCAAAATCGTGAAATTAATAATTTAAATAAAATATCACAACAACCTAAGTGCCAGACGAAAGTATTTAAATAACGATTTATTTGGAAAATATTATTTAGTAGGGTTGCCACCTGTTAAAATCAGCTCAGTTAATAATTTAAACGAAATCCTTCAATATGGGTATCAAACGAGAGCTTTAATGAGCTGCCAAAAGCTGGGAAAAATCAATCTAATTGGCGGGTTAAATAAAATTTTACTAAAACTATCAAAGTGAAAGCTTTTGAGATAACTAATGACCTGAAATAATATACAGCATATTTTCTTGAGAGGGTTGCCCCCTGTGTACAATACTATTTCAAATTACGAGTTCAAAAAAATTTAATAAGGCTTTATAAGAAAAAAATTTTAAGGACATTCATTGCCTATTATAAAATTTAAATTCAATTGTATTAATAGGTAGAAAATACTACACGCAGCTGTGGAAAAAATAGTACTTAAAAATGTTTCCAGTACTCTCAATTTTACCACTAGAGCTATGATCTGAACTAGGTCTCTCAAAGCTCTCAATTCATGCTACGAAAATTTTCTCTCGGGTAAAATTTTACCCCATGTACATCTTTCTGCTGAACTCTTGTCCATTCCCTTTTCAAGCAGCCTCGTTACGTACTGTAGATGAATCTACTATGAATATAAACATGTGAAAATACGGGTATATGTGTATGTTTATAGGTATGTAGGTACATAAATATTCCCCTTTTTTAGTTTGACATTGAACTCTAAATGTTAGTTCTGATCCATTGTATAAAAAAAAATGTTGTATGTGTGTAAGCAGGTGTGTAACGTATGCCGTATAATATGTAGCATTGCAAACACTCATTCGAATACTATGCCTTTGTATGTATGTATGTATGTATCAAACACTCCAATCACGGCTTATACATATATATATATACGTACGTGCGTTTGTACGCACGCCGCCATTCACAACTTCGATTCTAAGCATTTCTGAATGAAAAATATTTTTTTCCCAAACATGAAATGTATTTAGTTTATTTTTTTTTACCACTGCACCGGTGTTCAAAATGCCCGGCTTTTCTATTCAATTCTATGCCGATGTGGTTTTTTTTTTCTTTTCAATATTTATTTAATATGTTCCAAACGACTAGGCAGCATGACGGCTAAAAAAGTGGCAAATCGCCGACAAAAAGCTTAACAAACTCGATATGCAGCTGAGCTGAAACAAAGGGTGGCAAAAAACCCGGTAAATGTGTAGCAAAATGTAGCGCAAAGCGTTACATGTAGCGCCGCAAAAAACACTCCACACACTGAAAACGAAAGTTCCTAAAAACGTGATATAGAAGTGTAGAAAATAAATAATAAAAATAATAAATAAAAAAAAACAACAACAATATTTTGCTAAAAGGTTATAGAAAGCAGCAAAACAAATTCATCAAATGGGGAAAAAAGGTGCAGCAGCAGCATAAAATAGAAAACCTAGAAATTCAACAGTAAAAATATAGCAAATCGGAAGCAACAAAATAAAAATCTGCGACGAAGCGTTGAAACGAAAGATGCGTAAATCTAAAAACAGGCGGGCGGCGGAAAAAAGCTCTAGAAAAAGTACTTGATTAAAACAAGTAAGGGGATTTGTGGTCGCAAAAAAATTGAATTTGAATTTTATAAAACGACAGCGGAGGCATTCAACTGAGCATATGAAAAATAAATATAAAAAAATGCAAAGATTTTCGCGCTAAACCAAACTAAACAAAGTGCTGCTCAGTTAAATCGAACAAGAAAATAAAAAAATAAAAACAACAAAGAGCAAAAAAAAAATAACGGAAAGAAGAAAAATCAGATTTTAGTGCAAAATATTTGAAACCATAAAGTTCCTAAGCGAAAGTGCAAAAAAAAGCACGCGTACATAAACATACTTACATATGTATATGTGTGTATGACCATGAGTGTGTGAAAAACTACTAAAAAAAAGTTCTGTTTACGAAATTTTGCATAGCAAAGAAATAAATAGAAATACGGGTGAGTGAGCGCAGAAATGGCAAACAAAGTTTAACGAAAATTGTAATAGATATAGTAGGTCCGGATATGCATACTTACATACATGAAAAAGCGCGATGTGTTAAAATATTCAGCCTTTGGCAGAAAAAAGTCCGAAGTATGAATGAAAATTGGGGAAACCCCCCAACAAAAAGGCAGCGATTGCAAAACTATGTATGTACGAACGTTTAGAAATATACAAATCAAAGTTAGCGGCAAAGTAAAAAAATGTATGAATATAATCATACATATGTATATATCCACACATATATTAGTTACGCAAAAAATGTGCACAAAGCAGAGCACATCACGCCAAAAAAAAATAATAACTGTGCAAAAATTGGAAAACTTTATAACTTCGCTCTTACAGAAAAAAATAAATGAAAAAAAAAAAACGCCAAGAGTGCAAGTGACGAAAGAGGCGGGAGAAAACACAGCTGAAGTGGTAAAAACATCACAAAACAATGCCAAAAAGGTATGGAAAAAAGCAGTGAGAACAAATAGCGAAAAGTTAGCGTCAAAGATGTGGATAACCGTTACGAGTGCATTAGAAAAAGTGGCCAAGGGGGCGGAAGTGAACAATATGAAAAGCAAAGAGAAAAGTGGAACAAAATGTTTGTATATTTGAGAACGCAAATCGAAAAAAATAAGAGAGTGTTTCTGTAGTGAGTAATGGTGGTTAATAAGATAAACAATAGGCGGGAAGAAATTAAGGTAATTATAGGCGGTATTCAGAAAAAATTAAATTAAATAAAATAAAATAAAATAAAATAAAACAAAATAAAATAAAATAAAATAAAATAAAATAAAATAAAATAAAATAAAA